TTTAAACTCGCCATTACCACCACCAATGCTGTTACCACTAGTGCTGTTACTATTATTGTGTCACCGTTGTTATCATTGATTTAAAGAAATACATGTAAAAAACAATAATAATAGTATTAGCAAAGTCGGTCATTGACTTTTTACTGTGATACAAAAATTTGACAATAAAAACGGTGTAAATCAAAAAAAAAGTATATATTTCTTTTTCTTTAAAAGTGTCATTTGAACTTATAATAATAATAATAAGATGCCTGTTTAACTATTAGGATATCTGATACAGAAAGTCGGAGTAATTGTTTTTACAATTAGTTGAAGAAAACAAGGAATTATCAAAAAGTGAAAAGGAATATTTAGGAGAAAAATTCAATATGAACTTGTATTAAAGAATGCTCCTTGTTACGATATAACTAAATTTTCAGATAATTGAAATTATGCAGTTGTTCTAAATTGTATGAATGAAGGAAATTTAGGAGACTGGTTAAAAAAAAAAATTCAAGTTAGATATTTAAATGTTTATGCAATGCATTATATTATATACATAAAAAAAAATTTATCTACTATGATTTACATACATATTGGAAATATGTTAATGGAAGAAGGTCATTGTTATAACACAGATTTGGGATCATGTGGGTCAGTTGGTGATAAATCATTAAATGCTACTTAGTAAAAAAAAAAAATACAAAAGAAATAAATATTTATAATGTTGAATGCTTATGTGGAAAATATTTGCAAGCCATTCACTATCAATATTGTCTGATAATTATGCACAACTGTTGAAGATATTTATAAAGTTGGAAAAAAATGCCAATAAAAAAGATTAAAAGATTATTTAAATCATAAAAAAACACATTTGATTTTAATAATGGTAACAGTGTTAGTGGTGATGATGATAGGAATAATGATGACCATGATGGTAGTAGTAGCAATTCACAACAAAATTTGATAAAATATTAGATAATGAAATTACCAAATGTAAAAATTTGAAAAGTAATGATAGTTCATTAAGCAATCTTGATTTTGTTTTGTTATCTGAAGAGCTAATTTTTATAAGGTAAATTAAAATTCCATCAATAACTAATGAGGTATTAATCTAATTATTAATTAATTACTAATATGATATTTATCCTTTATTAACAGTCATCATATTAACAAAATAAGGATTGGTGAAGTTAATTAAATATTGATGAAGTTAGGGAATTGTCAATGGAAATTAATTTGTTTATTTCTTAAATAATAAAGCAGAGTTTATCATTTATTTAGCCAAGGCTCTTGTGAACTGAATTTTTATTTTAAAATATAAATAAATACAAGATAATAAATTCAAAATAAGTTAATAACAATAACAATCATTAATTATAATTATTGGTTTGATTAAATTATCATTATCTTTATTGTTGTTACATAAAAAAATTAGCTGTTGAATTTTCTTTATATAAATATCTTTCAAGATAATAAATTATCAAGATCATTTCCTAAAATATAATTATGAATAGTATATAAATGTTCTATTTTTTAAGCAATGTAAACTAAAAATATATATATTCAAAAAAATTTGATAATAACACCATTCTATTGATTTTCTTTACTTGCTTAACCTTGAGCATAACTCCTAGTCCAATCTCGAGCTATTCATTTTATTTATAAATATATACAGTAGAAAAAAAATCAATTAATTTTTCAATTTTTATTATGTTCAATCCTATTCCATAATATCATAATAATTAACTAGTTGTTGGTTAGTTTACCTGTCGCGATTGCAGCCTTTTCATTTTCTTTCCAATGTTGTGCGACATCATTAGCAAGTGGATCATCAGGATTTGGAGCAGATAAAAGTGCTTGTACAGAAAGAAGTACAGTACGAATTTGTAAAGCTGGTGACCACTTGTCTTAAAACAAAAACAAAACAGTAATGATGATGATGATGAGTATGTATAAAGTGAACATATATAGAATACTATTCTCCCCAAAAAAAAAAGAAAATACCTTTTAAAATATCTAAACAAATTCTTCCGAGTTTATCAATATTTGGATGATATATTTTAGTTATAAAACGTACTTTAGGTGGTGCCATTGGATATTCCTCAGGAAGAAAAAGTTCCAATTTAAAAACTCCGCCTATTTTTTTTCCAGAATAGTATACAAGTATATTTTTATTAGATCATAAAAAAAACATATCATTATTCATTATTATATATTATTGTTTAGTATTATTAACCTTCAAAGGGTGACTGAGTTGGGCCAGCTATAATAACATCAAAGTATCGAAGGTTTTCTTCATGTGGTATTGCACTTATACCAGGTGCTGGTTCTTGTATTAAACGTTCAGTCTCCTAAAAACATTGAATAATAATAATAATAATTTATATTTTTTACTAATTGTCAATATTATAATAATTACAACAATACTTTTAATCACTGCTGAATACAACAAACGACTTTAAGATATAAGAATTATTTGTATTATTTATACCTTGATTATTCTTTTTGGTAAAGACATTTTTTAAAAAACTTTTTTGTAATAATAATAATAATAATATTAATATATTAATATTAATATTAATATAGGGAAACTTTACAATAATATCTAGGGGTTAGTTTAACAAATCCGTTACACGAATGTTTTTTACTATACGCTTATTTTTAAATAGCTGATTTTGGAAGTCAAGGTATTTCATACTAATTCTATGAGGACAAAGTGTTTTGAATTGAATTGAGCAACAATTAGTTATGTTATTTATTTTTTATAACAAAAATTATTAAATTATAAATTGAAATTAACTTCAAATCACTATTGAAAATAACTATAAAAATTTGTTACTTTGTTAAAGCTTCCACAGAAAAAGATGCAGATAGAAATAACTTGCTCATAGATAAATTTCTGTTATTTCATATTTGTATATTAAGTATTTGACTTGAAATGTTAAAGATTGTAATAAAAGATTCCAGCAATAATAAATTATTATTTAATAAAACTATTGTGTATATATGAAAAATATTGGGATCAAGTCTTTTGGTCGAAGAACCATTTAAATTAGTTGCATCTGCTATAAGCAGATATTGCCCATCTTAAAAAAATTTAATTTTAATTTTAATAAAACTTACATAGGGTAAAATTTAGTTTCTTTTGATATAAGGTGCAAATTTGAAATATATATTTTATTATTTACTTTTTCAGAAACAATACGAGCAATATTTGCTAAGTCAACATATCACTAGAGAAGAAAAAAAATTTATTAGTTGTCAGTTTAAGGAGTAATAACAAGGTTTTTTCTGGTCGTTTTTAATCGCATTCTTGTCATTCAATGATGTTCTGGTGCATTTGTGACATTTTATGATAAAATTCATTTGTCATAACATCCATCATTATTGCACTTATATAAACAACTAAATATCGACAAACAGTCCTGTGTAAATCTTTTCTCTTAAACCTTCAAACCTCTTGGTCTTTTAACTCTTTACACATTATTTTAGAAATTATGGTATTATCACTAAAAAAAATTCCTTGATAATAGAACTAGACGAATAGACAGAATAAAATTTTTAGCTTCGTAATAAGCTGCCTCATCTACGCAATATTTTGTTATCTATTATTTTAAAAATTCAACGATCATTTTTGAAATAGTAATAATGAACTCTGTTGTTTAATAAACCAATTAATTTTTGCCAGCAAAATTTAAAAATTTCTTGACAATCTAGCTCTTTGCGAAATAGTGATAAAACTATATACTGTATATGAATATAAGTATATGAAAAGTAAGAAATATAATGGTTCTAATGAATATGAAAAGGCAATTGATTTTTTAGAAAAGGTTGTGATTGTGGTTGCTCTTCAATAATTCCCAAGAGAATTTGCAGAATTACATGAATCATTTCTAAATCAGAACAAGACATATTTTTAATGGCCAAACTCCTTATGAAAAATAAAAATACGGAATTAACGTATTTCTTATGCGGTTTGAAAAATTTCCCCTTTTCAAATTTGGTACAATTAGTATTAGTATTAGTGCAAAATACGGAATTGATACGTAATCAGCACGAAATTTGTACATACTAAAAAGGTACTAGTACGTTTTGATTCCGCGTATAAAGTACGTAGTATGTAAAATATTGAAAGGGAGGGATCATATAAAGAATACATTTATTTTATTCGTTATAAAACATACGGATTTTTATTTTCTGCTCAAATTTTTGGTCATGAATTTTGTGTACTGTTATCCGTGCCCGTTATTCTCTGACTGATCTACAACATCTACAGAATCAAAAAGAAGTTCTACTTAATGCTAAATATATCTGACCTGGTGCAAGCATATTATCATCTACAGTTAGCGTTAAGCCTTGTATCTTGTAAATGGTCAGTGCGAATACATTTCGGATTGGGAGCTGATTCCTAGATATATTTATTCATTGATATTGAAATATGAAATTGTTTTTTGAATATTAATTTTTAAATACATTATCAGTTGTAGGAAAAGTGACTTCAACATTATCATTGCTAACAACAATTTTGGCGATTACTCTCCAAGTGTTCCATTACATAGATTATGTTCTAATATTTTATTATCCAAATACATTGCACGGGCACCTTCTTGTGTCATGACAGAGCCTGGAAGACTGGTGTAATTATCATTATTGTCGTCAATTATTTGATTATTAAACATGTTTGTGGATACAATAATTGACGAGCTCATTCCTCATCACACCTGTAAGTGGAATCCCACTTAAAGCATAGTTTCTAGTAGCTGAATTGATAAGAGACAGTTATGGGAACAGATGACATTTTGAATAGTGTCATAAAGAGAAATTTTCACATTTTTATTACTATACATATACATAGTAAAACAATCGTGAATAATACAGATAAAAAACAAATAGTAGATCAATATAAATTAGATTTTATTTATCTAAAATAGGATCAACAATGTACCTGTTTTCATTTTAAAAAATGATTTATTTTAAATTTTATCTGCTTTATTTTCTCAAAAAAAAACAATTGATTAATGTTTTCTTCAAACGATATCCGTGTAGTGGTTTCTATAGGTAAAATTTATTATTATCATAAATTTGTATAAAAAATATCCGTACTAGGATAAGATTTTAATAATATTAATATGAATTAATTTTATAGATTTTGGTAGCACTTATTCGGTAACTAACTACACAATAAATAAAAATAACAATTTTATTTATCATACATATATATAGTAAGTTCAAATTTATACATTTAGGGATATGCATATTCAAATAAAACACATCCACAAATCATTACAAATTCTGCATGGCCAGGTTTAATTGGAAAATTCAAGATTAATACAGTATTGCAATATGATGAAAATTTTAAAAATGTTAAATATTGGGGACACCAAGCTTTATCAAAGAAACCATCTGGCAACAACACAATTGATGATAATAGTGATAGCAAAGATGAAGATCAAATAGTTGAATTATTTAAATTACATTTAAGTGAAAAGATACCAGTAGAAGAACAACCTAAATTACCAGATGGGTTAGATTCCACTAAAGCAATCACTGATTATCTTCATATCATTGGTAGGTAAATTTATTGTTTTTATTATTATTATTATTATTATTATTACTATTATTGTATTTAAAAAATTATTACTTATTTTGTTTTTAATATGAAAGGCATGGTATGTGTTATGATTATTATTGTCGTATAACAATAATATACACTTGATATTTTGGTTTTTTAATATATAAATATATTTTATTTTTAGCATGCAAAACAAACAATTGAAACTAGTTGGCCTGGTATAAATTTCAAGAAAAATGTATTATTGATTCTCACCGTTCCATCTGAATGGTCTGAACAAGCAAAGCATACAATGAGAAAGTGTGCTTATGATGCAAAATTAACAAACATTAAAAGTTCTTCGCATTTACAAATTATCACTGAACGTAAGATCTAAAAAAAATATATTATTATTTACTTATTTATTTAAATTTTTAACATTTATTTTATATGGTAATTTAGCTGAAGCTGCAGCGATATATTGTAGGAAATTAATGAGAAAGAAATTTTTTAGAATTACTGGAAGTAAGTAAAAAAAAGTTTATATATAATACATATGCATGTATATTAAATTTTTAAGAAAAAAAATACTTGATAAATTTTATAGAAAAATATTTAATTGTTGATTGTGGTGGAGGTACAGTTGATTTGACCATGCGTCAATTATTACCAAAAAATCGACTTGGAGAAGTTACAGAATGTTCTGGAGATTTGTGTGGTGGATCGTTTGTTGATTTGGAATTTGTTAAATATATTGGTAGAAAGGTTGGTGTCAATGCAATAAAATCATTAAAAGAAAAAAAGTATGGACAATATCAATATATGATTCAAAGATTTTGTGACAACGTCAAGTTTAAATTTGATGGTGGAGATGAGGATGTTGAATATGATTTTGATATTGAAGAAATTTGTCCTGCACTTAAGGATTATATAGCTGGTAAATTTATTCTTTTTTTTTAAAAAAAAAAAGTTTTCCATTAAATTTAACCAAACACACTTACATATAAACAAATGAATAGACTCACAAAAGGATCAATTGAAAGAAGATGAATGGCTTATCAACTTAGATTATGAAACTATCAAATCATTTTTTGATCCTGTCATTGGCAGGATAATTAGATTGATACGCAGTCAATTAGAGGCAAGCAATGGTGATTGTTCAGCAATATTTTTGGTTGGTGGATTTAGTGAATCACTTTACTTAAAAAAAAGAATTAAAGAAGAATTTAAAAAGAAACAATATGTTTCTATTGTTTCGGTACCCTCTGAGCCAGCATGTGCCATTGTGAGAGGAGCAGTCGAGTATGGGTTGAATAAAGATGTGATAAAGAATAGGGTGTTGAAATATAATTATGGGATAGTTGTTAAAAAACCTTGGACTTGTGAGTTTCCGGTTGCAAGGCGTGAAGAATGTGGAAACGTAAGATTAATGCGTTGGATGGCTACTAAAGGTCAACAAGTTAAAGTTGGTCAGAAATTTTCTACATATTTTAGAATGTCCCATGAATATCAAACACATGTAATTGTGGATTTGTATATATCAGATAATATTACAACATATAGTGATGAGCCTGGTGTTTACAAGTTGGGAAAATTTACAGTAGAAGTGCCTGATGTTCATTTAGGAAAAAATAGACGTACCGAATATGAACTTTGTTTTGATCAAGATGAAATTACTGCAACTACTAAGACTCATAATGGTAGAGAATGTAAATGTAATTTTGAATTAGAATTTTAATGTCAAATATATTTATTTTTATGTATGAAGCTTTTTTTTAAAAAAATATTCGTACGAGATTTTTAATTCCTTAAAATAATCTAATCAAAATCAACGTGGCCTGAATTATCACGATCGGTGTACATAGGTAACTCGATAAGTCGGTCGTGACTTATTGGGAGAACTGATTTACCAAGAGTGTGTGACATAAATAAATAAGTAGTAAATGAAATAATAATAATAATAATATCGATATTGATAGTGAAAATAACGAATTAATTAATACAGTATAACTTGAGTTGAGGAGAGCGAAAATTAATATAGTAATAAAAATATTCATTTATCAAAGATAATCTAAATTCAGTCAACGGGTGCACGAGCGCATAATAAATATTGTGTAAAATTAATAAAAAATGAGGTTCTTCCAGGCAGTGAAAATAAGTAAACAATAAAGATATATTACTATGATTTCTGATTCCTCGCTCAATTAAATGTAATTATCAATATATTTATTATATCTCTTTGAGGGCAAGTCTAACTTTCTTGATACTCTTCCCCATCTTCTCGGAACTCGCATAATTATTATAAGAGCCTCCCATTCTTACCATAACCTTGATATTCCGCGATTTTCTTTTCCAAATACGTAGCTAATCTTTAAATCCCAATGCTCAATAACCATATTATTTTATAGTATTTCCAGTGTAACTAAACTTGAGGTAAAAATTCATTGCGATTTTTTTTAGTTTTATTTTTCTTAAATATAAAGTAAATAAATTAAATAAAATTAAATAAATTAATTATTAATATTAATATTGACAAAGGAAAATTTAAATTCGATTTTTACAATTTCTACAATTCTACTACTACAATAAATATTATTATTCTATATATACACTGATTATATATGGTAATTTACCATAACTTCAGTAAGTTGTTACATTTCTGTATTTGACACCAGGAAATTTTTTTATGTATTATAAATTATTCAATTATTAATTAGTTGAACTTCTATTCCTATTAAACGACCATCCTCTGAGTGTCATTCTTCTCTCAGCAGATATCAACGATTTTTTCCTTTCTGGTGTGACTTTTCTTTTTTCAATCATTAAAGCATCTGAAAGTGTAAGCCCATTAGGACTATCTGGTAAATTGATAATAATACCATTGCTACCATCAGATGTTGATGACTCAGATGTCTTTTTATTATTATTATTATTATTATAACCAGATTGCATTGGTGAAAACCTAGATGAATTAAAATTTGCTTTTGCTGCTGCAACTCTAGTAATTATTGATGATGAAGATGATGGACCAATTGGTGATGTACCAATTGGTGATGTAGGTGATATTTGTTCACCATTTAGTTGTGAAATTGCGTAAAATGATGGAATCCGATTAGGGTTATTGACATTTAATGGCGGTAGGAAAAATGGTGAAGTTTGCGACGAAACAATTGTTGATATAACCTGATGATCATTTGTTGTTATTTGTTTTGATTTTTCGCCTTCTTTTGCTTTTCTACGTTCTGTTAATCTTTTAATTTCTTCAGCAAAATTTTTATGGAAAACTAAAATAAATGTTATAGATTATGTTATTCAAAAAAACATTTGAATAGATATATAATTGATAATAAACTTCTTATTATTAGTTACATTTAAACAGAGTCTCGTGTAATGGTCGCATGTCATGTGACACTAAGCAATCGTGTATTTGCAAACATCTATAAATAATTTCAACCTGTAATAATAATTGTGATGATGATTATGAGATTATATTATTCAATAAAAGAACGATTTATTAATCAAATATATATAAATATTAATTTTTTACAAACTTGTTCATCAATTGATTCTTTCAAATCTCTTACTAGTGATTCTTTATCAGGATTAGTTGATATGAATTCAGGATCAAAAAATGCCTTTTTATACATGGGCACACCACCATTTACAGGTGCATCCACTGCTCCATTTAGTGACATTGTTAAAGGATTAGTGTTGACCTTGGCAGTTCCCACATTATTTGAATTAAGAAGTGCTCTATATTTAGATTCTAAAATTAATAATTCTTTATTCTTGGATCTCATTGTAGTCACTGCATTTTCAATTGGTGAAACTTCAAACACAGTCATTTTGATCACTTCAGATCGTCGTAAAACAGTTGGAAAATGGTCTTTAGAAACTAAAATGGTTTTTTCTGTCCATAAATCCAAGAATTCATTGCCAGATTTAATGCCATTAGGATTCTTATTCACAGGTCTGGAGAAACTAAATGTGTCTACAGAATTATACTCATAATAGGAGCGAATAGATGATGGAACATCTCCTTTAAATACAGGGAGATCTTTATTAGGCTCTGGTTTTACGGCTGTCACCTGAAGGAATTGACCATCTCCATGAAGAATGTCATCAGTTGGAGGGCTATTTGATTTAAGTAGTTGAGCTTGTGTGTGTTTGTTCTGCATACGTTCGCAAAATGCACCAATCTTTTCCCATTCAAAACCACGATAAATAAATTGTCGATTTTGTAAACTAGCTGGAAATCCTCTACCATAAAATCCAACTCTGAAGTACTCACTGAAATAGCGTTCCTTCATTATAATGTTCTCATGAAGTACAGCTTGTTGTTTAAGTATATTGCTTAAACGTTGATATTCAAATGTGGTACACTCAAATTGTTTGGCCAGCTCTTTGCATATTTCTATACCATATTCCCAAGCCTTTCCCTTAACAAAATAACCCAATATTTGAATATATAATCTTTCCTTTCTATCAAAAGCTGATTGTTTAGGGAAATTTAATTCAGGTAATGCTTCCACTTCAATATTTGGATCCCAATTGTATAAATCTGAATGTAATTTTAGTGTTAATGCTGCCTCAACAAAATTATGACTGTTGATTTGCATTTGAACAAGCTGATGCACATATTTGATATAAATCTGATTCCTTTCAATAGTTTTTATGAATTTCATAAGTTTGAGTGTACACATAATTCGATCATCCTGGAATTCTTCACCCTCGGGTAATTCACGAACGCCAAGTAAAAGTTCTAAAAATTCATTCAAAGAATCCAAGAACTTTATCATTGCGTCTCTTAAATCCATATCGACCAAAGATTCTTCAAATAATCCTTTCAATTGTGCAATAAAATATGAGCAAGACATTTCGTCACCTTTAGTTTCAGACATGAAAAGTCTATCAAATATATCAATAATGTCTGATTCAATTTGTTTCAAATCTTTTTCTAGCATATATTGTGTTACTATCATGCTGAATAAAACAGTGGTGGCAGCAGAACGCAACTCATCATGATGAGACAGACACAATTCTAACATTGGACCTAATAATGTGTTTATGAATCGAACTTGATAACCACCCATTTTCCCTTCTTTACCCTGTTCCCATCCAATAGCATTCCATAATGTTGATAATAATTTTGCTCCTTGTCCACGAATATCACCTGCCAACCTCCATATTGCACGACGTTTTTGTGGCGTGAAATCTTCAATCACTAGATGTCTACTGGTAAGCAGACATAAAAGACAATTGAAATATTCTCTCCAAAGTTCTTCATTAAATGAATTTGGTGCTTCTTTATCTGGTATATAATTTTTTTCCATCATTATTGATATTGGTTCAAGGACTTTTAAAAAGGTTTTATGAGCTATCATATTCATATTTAACCATGATTTTGGAAATGCATCATTTATTAGTACTGATCGTGCGACTTGGAACAGAATAATCAGAAATTCTGCTGTAGAATCATGACCTTCTCTATAATAAGTTGATAGAAGATGCTCTTTCATGTTTTTTTGTGATACTAAATATATTATTTGTAATAAAACTGTTGCTATTTCACCCAAACCACTAGACATTTTATTTGACGATTGGAAAAAGGGAAAATCTTTTGAGTATCTATATGAATTTATGGTTGATGGTGTTCCTGAATTATTTGTTAAATTTGAAGAAGACAAGGGATTTTGCTCATGATGTAAACTTTCATGTTCATCAAAAGAAGTAATATGTAATTCTCGATAAGATTCACAGAGTTTCATCAACAATGGAAGAAGCACCATCACATTTTCAATTTCTCTTTTAGTTGATTCTTTGTCATTTGAAGCCTTTTCAATTGAATTCTGTAGGATTTCCAACATAACTGCCAAAATAGACACACACAGCCTAATACCATCTTGCCATTGTAATCTCGCAGCTTCGTAATCATTAGTTTGTTTATTTGTAACTTCCCATCTACCCATATGATCAGAAAGCCATTCAACCACTCTAGGTATTAGGGTTGCTCTAGACTCGGGATTTTCAAATAATGGACCGCGACAAAATTGTAGAATCACCAAAAGTTTATAAGCTAAAAGTTTACCTTTAGGCAACCGAACCGATTCAGTAAATCGTATTGCAATCAATATTAGGTCATCAGATGAGAAACATTTGCCAAGGTCAGTGAAAATAGAACCAAAATGTTGCAAGGCTAATGCCTGAGTACCAATTATTGATTGTGGTGTGGTAATTGACATTAATTTGTCTATACTTTTAAATAAAGAGAAAAGATCAGTTTTAAATTGTTCTTCAACATAATTTCCTGACAGACCCATATCTGTTTCTTTTGTTCTTTGCAGTTCCCTGGATCTCATGATAAATTTGAAAATGTATTGCCAAACTTTGATAGCAGAACGTAGATTTTTTGCAGTTTCTACACCGGTTGGATTAGAGACTAAATGGTTCATTGATCTGATGAAATGAGATGAAGCAGCAGCGCAGGAAAAATGGTTTTCAATATATACATCAAGTACAGGCTTAAAATTCATAAATCTTCTGTCAGAAACTATTCCAAGAATAGTTACTAATGCATTAAATATCAAATCATCTAGTTCTCCTTGTTGGTTCCTTGCTGATACCAAAATACCAAATAATGCATCAAAAATATCTTGAAGAAATTTAACAATTTCCACCTCACTAACAAAAGTAAATTTTTTTAAAACTGACTTCAACTCATTTTCATTTGATAATAATTGTTTTTCCCAATTTAATAGCTTGAGTAATACTTCATTCTGTGTATATTTTGTAGAACATAAATAAGTCCAAATTACAGCTGTATCTTTTAATGGGGAGATCAATTTATGTAACGACATTTGAGAATTATTTGTGAGATGTACAGAGGCT